AATTAAATCCTTTGTCCATTCAAGCTTGGATTTCGGCGGTAAGTTCAGCATTAATATCAATTTCTTCTCCGACCGCTAACCTGGCTAATCCATAAGTGTCTAAACTGCTTTCCGGTAAATTTTCGTCGATAGCGCGTAAATTGTCGTAACATTCTCTAAAACATTTTTCATAAAAATCTATTTTTCTTGGTGCTGGTTCTACTTCTCTTCAACCTATATTTCTTACAATTTCTCATCAACGAAATATATTATTAAGGCCATATAATTTTAATTCGGAAACTGGTAAAACCAAATCTACTCGGGTGCTTATTATTCTCCCGGTTTGTATTTGTCCTCCCTGTTCATCTGTTATTCTTTCCCTTTCTTGGTTAGGTTTCACATTTGAAGGTTCTCAGCCGTTGTTCACTAACTCTTGGATAGAATTAGGTTCTATTACTCCTTCGCTTTCTACATAGGCTGCGATTGGACCTCAGGCAAAATTTTGCCAATTTGCTCGGACACGAGGGTCAGGTAAATTTTCCCTTCAAACTCTACTTTTTGCTCGGACTTTTCTTACATAGAGAGGATTAAGCAGAAAAGTGCCTTCTTCTCCGGTCGCCGAAGCCGCACCACGAAACTCGGGGTCGAGAAAGTCCTTTACATCTGCGGCTTTTCAGCCATTTTTAAAATAAGCAATAACAAATTCCTGCGGAGGAAAATGTTTTTTCATTCAATCATTTATTATTTTTTTTTGAGCGTCCACGTTTAGAGCAGTAAATTTGGTTCTTTTTCCCTCTGATAAATCTCTTGATGTAAATATTTCGCGAGAGTAAAAGATAAATTTAGTTTTTGTCAAAGCGTCAATTTCAAAAGGTTCAGTGGCGGGATTAAGAGAAGCATGATAAGGAGCAGTTTCGTCTCCTCTTAAATTTAAATCTCTCGCTTCTCAACCATTATTATACGCTTGGCGAGCATTTTCGGCACTTCAATTTTTTTCCCGGTAAGCGAGAATTTCCTGCTTAGTAAGATTGTCGGAGGCAAGAGCGGTTGTTCCGCTGTGAGTTTTGAAAGCCTTAATGAAATTTTTTTCTTCGTCGGTTGTCGCTTTACTATTAATATCAGCAGCGATTACTTGAATAGTTACCAAAGCGTCAGCCAAAGTAGGAGTGATTTCCCGGTTCAGTAAAATGAATTGAGGAGTAATTTCATCGTCAGCCCGAATTATCAATCCTCGGTCTCTCAATCCTTCTCAATCAACGTAATTTGCTATTTCTAATTCATCTGTGTCTACATTTTGTCTTCTTCGCAATCTGTCTAATCTATCTGCCGCGTATTCCCGGAGCGAAGTATGAATTTCAGCTTCTTTGACTTCTATTTCTCTGCTATCAGTTAATGAATTAATGTCCTCTCGTCAATTTCCAAGATTACGCAGCAAAGTTTCGCTAATTTCAAAATTATCTTTAATCCCGGCAATCTGGTTAAAACTGGCGATAAAGTTGTCAATTTCTTCAATAATGACTGCTTTTGGATGGTGGCGGCGGTAGGCTTTTTTTCTTTCTTCTTCGGCTTCTTTCCTTGAACTTTCTACTTCCGA